CCCCCGGGAACAGCTCCAGATCATCTTATTTGATCGACTTACCCACTAGATCTCCCTCTCTAACACCTCCCTCTCCTCGGACGGAAAAACAAAGTGTATGCTGATTAGGTATGAGGAGTGGTGGCCGTGTGATACGAGAATACTGCATCACAGGGGAGGCAATACTTGGGAGGCCATCTCTTCAGGACTCGTCTCTTGCGCGCACGGCTACTCTCTCTCCTATCGGTGTGCTCTTATCTTGTCACTCTGCTTGATGTAGGCTATCATCACTCGTATCGACCGAGGCCTTCATGTTGCACGATTTGACGATACCCTACAACACCCGTCATACAATCTACAATCTCACCACTGACTGATATCCTACGGACAGACGCCTTATCATACAGACTGGCACCAGTTGCTGTCAAACAGCAACACCTTTCAGCACAGACTCTCTACCTCCGACACCTGACATCTCATTAGAATAAATCAGATAGATTAATATATGTATACATCTCCTAGAAACGCCTTGCCCGTCATCCCTTCCCCAGTTGTATGGATGGTACAAACTTTTCTTTGTTTTGTCTTGTTCGTACCCTGACACCTTCTTCTCACCAACATGGTATCAAAGTGATAAAAGAGGAAAATATGTAGAGAAATGACAAGAAAGAAAAAAGGAAAGAAAAAAAAAGAACGAAAGAGGAGAGAGAGAGGGAGAGAGAGAGAGAGAGAGAGAGAGAGAGAGAGTCGAATCATTTCTTCGGAGGTGGTCCCATCTTCGACGCCCCCGTATCGACACGCTTCGTAGGTGGCAGATTCGGCACCTTGAACCCGCCACCATCAGCGTTGCTGCTCCCGCCGCCGCCGCCACCGACCTGCGTGAACGTCCCGCCCTTGAACCACCTGTCCTCCTCGGCCTTGCGCTTCCTGCTGAGCTCAGCCTGCATCTTGGGGTCGACCAGCTCGAGGCCCTGCACGGGCGTGAACGACAGGGACGACGCCGTGCCGACCGTGCTGCCCACCCCGGAGCCCCTGAGGCCGCGGGCGTGCAGGTCTATGCCGCCGGGCGTCTGGCCGAAGCCGCCGATGGACGAGGCCAGGCCTCCGCCGCCGATGGAGCTCGACGTGCCCCATCCCTTGTTCTTGGCGCTCAGCTTGGCCCGTGTGCGCTGGTCGACCTGGATGCCGCGGATCCTGCCGTCGTTCTGCTGTCCGATCATGCCCATGCCCACCGTACCCGAGCCCGTTCCGTAGCCGACCTCGCGCTCCTCCTTGCCAAAGGCCATGCGGTTCTGCGCCGTGCGCAGGTCCGTCATGGCCACGGCCTCCTTGGCTTTCCTGGCGCGCCGTCCACCCCTCTTGCGCGCCGGCTTGTCGTCGGGGACGCCGAGGGCGCGCCCGCCCTTGTTGGGCGGGGGCTCCGTCAGCTTCTCCAGCCGTCGGAAGCACTCGGCCTTGAGGTTCTCGCCCTCGGACCCGTCCGGGCTGGAGTGGCCGCGGTCTATGCGCGCCGCCAGGACCAGCTTGGCCGCCACGATGCGCATCGCCTTTGTCTTGAGGTCGGCCGGGATCCCGCGGATCGTCTCCGAGTGGAACAGGAACCCCTGCTGGCGGACGCCCGTGTTGGTGGCCAGCCCAGCCTGGCCCTTTTTCGACCCCCACCCAGGGAGGTTGCACGCCGGCGTCTTGGATAGGTTGGTCAGCCCGCCCGCCGTGTTGAGCAGCTGCGCCGCCGTCAGCGACCCGATCAGCGCGGTCATGTTGGGCGCGAAGATGCGCATCCGCGACTGTACGTAGTCCGTCAGCGTCTCCTTGGCCCGTGTCAGCGACACGAGCATCTCGCATCCCTGCCGCACCTGCGCCTCCTGCTCCGCGCTCATCTCCTGGCCCTTGGATGTCGTCGCCTCCAGCGTAACTACCATGAGCGAGGGACCGTTGAGGACCGACTTGAGAGTCACCCCCAACGGGTTGTCCGTCGACGTCTGAAGGCTCTTGAGCCTCTCCGAGTTCATCGGCCCGTTGCCGATAATCATCGCCACCTTGGCGTACTCGAGCGGCAACGTCACCAGCCTCTCCAACTCCGGAAACCGCGTCGAGTAGTGGTCGCGTATGTACTTGTGCACCAGGTACACCTCGCCATCAATCTTGGTAGACAGGTTGTTGGACTGCGTCAGGAGGTGGTACTCGGGATGATCCTCGATGTTGCCCGCATTCGTCGTCTGCGTCTCGGCCTGTGATCGATAGTGTTCGATTTCCTGTCAAGGGGGGGGGGGGGGGGGGGGGGGCGGGGGGGGGGGAGTGGGCACCATGTTAGGATTCTTCTTCTTCCCCTTCAACAAATATAATAGGCCAAAAAAAAAAAAGAGATTACGGTTACTTGCCTTGAGAATCGGTTCAAGTGTCTGCATCAGACCGGCGACTTTGCGGATATCCTTGACAGCACTCAGCTTCATATTGTCGACCTTGGCCTTTCTAGCCTCTGAGACGCCGGTGCCATCCACGTTGTCGTCGTCGTCACCATTGTATCCAGAGCCCACGCCGTTGTTTGTGCCGTCGACGTGCATGGCATCGTCATCGTCGTCGTCATTCTCGTGGCCGTCGCCGTCGCCGTTGCCGTTGCCGTCGCTACCCTCTTGCTCGACATTGTCGTCGGCCTCGTCACCCGAGCTGCCGAAGTCGTTGAGCAAGTCGTCCGCGACAGACGTCATTATCGGTAATGTTTCCGCCACACGGCCTCTATAATGTAGGGAAGGAAGAGTAGAAAAGTGATGCGTAGAGGTGGTGTTTGGAAAGTATTGACAAGCATCCAAAGCTCCGATGGCAAAATGCGCGAGGCCCAAAGGTCGACAGATGGTCCGTGCACATCTGTCGCGTGTCTTATCGCTGATAAGGAAAAGAGCAGCAGCAGCAGCAGCAGCAGCAGCAGCAGCAGCAGCGGCCGCCGATCAGCCACCTGAGGCCGACAATTTTTAATATGTAGGCACGTCTACGGAGGACTACACCTAAACCAACCTCCATTCATCCCCATCACCAGAACAACGACCCTTCTCCCCTTCCATTGAGACGACAAGAGAGAGAAGCTCAGGAGACGGGAGAATATTATCACCAAAAGGGTGAGAGGAAGAGAGGGACATAGCAGGCACACCCGACACGAACGCACTCACACATACACACGTCAAAATGGAGTCTTCAAGAGGCCCCCCACGGGTCAAAAACAAGGCGGCGGCGCCGATACAGATCAGCGCCGAGCAGCTCCTCCGCGAGGCCGTGGACCGACAGGATGAGGGGCTTCAGGCACCGACGCAGCGGTTCGCGGACCTCGAGGAGCTGCACGAATTCCAGGGCCGCAAGCGCAAGGAGTTTGAGGACTACGTGCGGCGCAACCGGGTGAACCTGAACAACTGGACGCGGTACGCGCAGTGGGAGCTGGAGCAGAAGGAGTTTGCGCGGGCGCGGTCGGTGTTCGAGCGGGCGCTGGACGTGCACCCCAACTCGGTGGTGCTGTGGATCCGGTACGTGGAGGCGGAGATGCGGTCGCGCAACATCAACCACGCGCGCAACCTGCTGGACCGGGCCGTGACGCGGCTCCCGCGTGTGGACAAGCTGTGGTACAAGTACGTGTACATGGAGGAGATGCTGGGCAACGTGTCGGGGACGCGGCAGGTGTTTGACCGGTGGATGCAGTGGCAGCCGGACGAGGCGGCGTGGAGCGCGTACATCAAGCTGGAGAAGCGGTACGGTGAGCTGGACCGGGCGCGCGACATCTTCCGGGCCTTCACGGTGGTGCACCCGGAGCCGCGCAACTGGATCAAGTGGGCGCGGTTCGAGGAGGAGAACGGCACGAGCGACATGGTGCGCGACGTGTTCGGCGAGGCGCTCGAGGCGCTGGGCGACGATTTCGTGGACGAGAAGCTCTTCATCGCGTACGCGCGCTTCGAGGCCAAGCTCAACGAGTACGAGCGGGCGCGGGCCATCTACAAGCACGCGCTGGACCGGCTGCCGCGGTCGCGGTCCATGGCGCTGCACAAGGCCTACACGACGTTTGAGAAGCAGTTCGGCGACCGCGACGGCGTCGAGGACGTGGTGCTGTCGAAGCGCAGGCGCCACTACGAGGAGCTGGTGCGCGAGAACGCCAAGAACTACGACGCCTGGTTCGACTACGCCGGGCTGGAGGAGACGTCGGGCGAGGCCGACCGCGTGCGCGACGTGTACGAGCGCGCCATCGCCCAAGTGCCGCCGACGCAGGAGAAGCGCCACTGGCGCCGGTACATCTTCCTCTGGATCTTCTACGCCATCTGGGAGGAGGTCGAGGGCCGGGACGCCGACCGGGCGCGGCAGATCTACCAGACCTGCCTGGGCCTGATACCGCACAAGAAGTTCACCTTTGCCAAGGTCTGGACGCTGGCGGCGCAGCTCGAGGTGCGCCAGGGCAACCTGACGGCGGCGCGCAAGCTCCTGGGCCGGGCCATCGGCATGTGCCCCAAGGACCGGCTGTTCGAGTCGTACATCGACCTGGAGCGCCGGCTGTTCGAGTTCGTGCGGTGCCGCACCCTGTACGAGAAGCACGTCGAGTTCAACCCGGCCAACTGCCAGACGTGGATCCGCTTCGCCGAGCTGGAGCGCGGCCTGGACGACCTGGACCGCGCCCGCGCCATCTTCGAGCTGGCCGTGTCCCAGCCCCAGCTCGACATGCCGGAGCTTCTGTGGAAGGCCTACATCGACTTTGAGGAGGAGGAGGGCGAATACGACCGGACCAGGGACCTGTACGAGCGCCTGCTCGAGAAGACGGACCACGTCAAAGTCTGGATCAGCTACGCCCACTTCGAAATCAACATACCCGAGGGCGAAGAAGAAGAGGAGGAGGAAGAAGAGCGGCGAGAGGACCAGGATCAGGATCGGGAACGAGAGCAGCCAGTCAGTCAAGAGGCCAAGGACCGCGCCCGCAAAATCTTTGAACGCGCCCACTCTCGCATGCGAGACAGGGACCTCAAGGAGGAGAGGGTATCCCTCCTCAACGCCTGGCTGTCGTTTGAGCGCACCCACGGGTCCGCCCGCGAGATTGACGCCATCCAGGCCCAGATGCCACGCACGGTCAAGAAGCGCCGTCGCGGGGACGACGGCGACTCCTGGGAGGAGTACTTTGACTACATCTTCCCCGCTGACGATCAGCAGACCAAGAATCTGTCGGGTATCATGGCCATGGCGCAGAAGTGGAAGCAGTCTGGTGGTGGGTTGTAATGCTGTTTTTTTTTTCGTTAAAAAAAAAAGAAAAAAAAAAGAAGAAAAAAGGAAAAAACTTTGGCCATCCTCTTACCCGGTACAACCTCGTTACTCTTCTCCTCTTCTCCTCTTTCACCTTCCCCCAACCCCTCTCCCCTCTTCTGACACGCACACAAAATCTATACATCATGACTTTTTTTTCTTTCTACATTTCTTGTTCTTCTTCCTTTCTTACATTCTGCCTCCTCTGTTCTTTTCTTCCCTTCTCCCCCCCCCCCCCCTCCCCCCTTCCCCTTTGTTCTTGTTACCATGTAAGGTGTAGAGTAGATGTTAACAAGCCATCTCTTTGATCACGAAACTTGTCATCATCAAGAATATTATATAAGAGGGAATATGTATCATACAAACTTCCGGTATCTTTCTGATATAAATGCAAAGTCCTCTCTCTGCTGGTTCGTCCTGTGCTACAGCCTATAAGATTGCATAAGAATTCAAGGTCTTTTTTTTTAAAAAAAAAAAAAAAAAAAACCTGTTCATGTCCGTTCTGCGTCCGGCTTCACCCTGCTTAGGGCCCACTTGTCATCAGCTACGTCACATTTACATTCATCTATCAACATCTCCAACATGCTCCGTACATCTTTATTTATGAGAGCACTAAAATCCACGAGAGCAATAGGATCCGATGAGAGCAGTAATTCTTCCTCGCCGATTCGGGCGCGGAACTATTGAATTCGTTAAAAAAAAAAAATCATAACATCATGTCCCAAGAGTTAGTACTTCAAAAAAACCATCCATATCCCAACATCCCAGAGATCAATGTCGTCATATCGGATATTCGGCATAGTCAACCCCTCATATCTCTTTCTGAAAAGAAAAATCCAAAAAAAAACGAACCAGACAAAAGAGATGGAGAGCAAGAAAAGAGAAAAAAAAAGGAAAATGCCCCATTATTTTTTTCGATCGGATATGTCGGTGTCGCTAGACGCATAATGTGGGTGTCACCCGGAAGGGGGGTGTGAAAGGCGTAAACTCGTAACGGCCAACAAAGGAACAGAGCTTTCCTGCACGAGTACTATGTATTCTCCGATATAGAAGAAACATCGACACTAGTAACGGCGGTCTGGTAGATTGCACAGAAACAGAAACAGAGAAGTCATTAGTCATTAATGTTCATATTGTGTGTGTGTGTGTGTGTGTGTGTGTGTGTGTGTGTGAAAGCAGAGGAAGGGGGGCGGGGGGGCGAAGGGGGGGGGGACCATCAACGCAATCCGAGAGAAGAGAGATTCTGTCTAAGAAATGTGCAAGTCAGACTAGGAACGCGAGTTCCGAGAAAGACAAGACGTAAAGAGAGAGAGAGAGAAAGAGAGAACAAGAGGAAAAAAAAAAAAGAGTTGAAACGCAGATATTGGCAGAGCAGAAGCGCTCCCCCATCACCATCACCAGCCAGAGACGCCCCGATCGTCATGACTATACCGACGACGAGGTGGTGGATCGATAGACCAATCCTCGTCGTCGTCACTGTCGTAGCCGTCAAGAGGGGGACGCCTTGGACCTGTACTTCTGTGGCTGCTCTCGCTGCGACGACCACCGCCGTAGTGGTGGTCGTCACGGTGATGAGGGTGGCTCGTCTGCTCGAGCCGTCTCTGGTGCCTCAGCTTCTTTTCCGACTTGAAATCACGACACTCGTGCGAAGCGTGCCTGGCCTCCTTGACCTTGGACATGGCGTTGCGCACGCCCAGGGCGGCGATGCCCACGGACGCGAGGTCCTGCATAATGTTCTTCCTCTTCATCCTCTCCGACTGCTCGTGGCTGATACGGCCCTCCCTCAGGGCCTTCTGCCGCGCCTGCCTCTTCTCCAAGCTCTCGTAGACCTCGTGCGCCGCGTTGATGGTGGCCGCCGTGGCCAGTCCCGTGCTGAGTATCTGCTTACCTTTCATCTTCCTGGCGCGCTTCTCGTCCTCGTCCGAGTCGCCCAGGTCCGAGCCCGACGCGTAGCCCGAGCGGCGATGACGGGACGGTCGGCTCTTTCCGTCCGCGTAGCCGCCGCCGCGGCGATCACCGTAGTCGTCTTGGCGGTAGCGCTCGTCACCGTCGTCGTCGCTGTAGTCCCTGGCCCTGCGCGAGCCGCCCCCGATGCCCAGGTCGGCGAGACCGTCGCGGGCGCGGTCGACGACGCTGCGGCTGCGGCTGCGACGGGTCCGGCTCCGGTCGCGGCTTCGGCTCCTGCTGCGCGACCCGTCCCTGTTGGAGTCGAGCACCTTCTTGGCACCCAGGGCGCCGAGGCCGGCCGTGGCCAGCGCTGCCAGACCGCTGCCGCCGCCGCCGCCACCGCCGCCGCCACGGCTGCCAGACCGGGCGCGCGAGCGGGAGCGGCTGCGGCCGGTGGTGCGATCCTCCTCAATGTCGTTCTTGGAGCCGTTGATCAGCCTGTTGCCGACGAGACCGCCGATGACGGACTCGGCCAGGCCGAGCTTCCCGTGCTTGTCGCCGTGGGCGGCGTCGACGGTGGCGGCACCGGCCGCCACCGTCAGTATGCGCTTTGCCTTCTCGCCCTTCCAACCTCCGGGCTCCTTGGCGACGCGGAAAGCCTCGGTGGCGCCGGCGAGCAGGGCGGCCATGGCGGACTTCTGTATCTTGTTCTCGCCGCCGCCGCCGCCGCCGCCGCCACGGGAGCGATGGGAGCGGGTGCTGACGTCGGAGCCGGAGCGGTGGCGGCTGCTCTTGTCGTCGTCGTGGCCGCCGCCCGTCAGGGACTTGACGGCGGCTCCAAGGCCGGTGGCGGCGATGGCGCTCTCGAGGAAGTTCTTGGCGCCCTTGCGGTGCTTCCTCGAGACGTCGTCGTCGTCGTCGTCGTCGCCGTCGTCGTCCGAGTAGTACTCGCTGATGTTCCCGTCGCGGCCGCGGTGCAGGATGTAGGTGGCCTTCTTGTCCTTCCTGGCCTGCGACTTGTTGTAGAACTCGATACCCTGGTAGGCGGCCAGGGCGCCGACGCCGGCGAGGGCGGCCGAGGCCAGGACGTTGCGGTCGACCTGCCCGTGGCCGTGGCCGTCCTGCTTGGCCTCGCGGCGATCGTACATCTCCTTGCCGCCAGCCAGGAGGGCCGCGCCGGCGATGGCGGCGATGATCTTCTCCTCCTTGGAGATGGTGCCCTTCTTCCTCCTGCCATCGCCCGTCACGGCGGACGAGGACGATTTGTAGGAGCGGCCGTCGTCGTAGTCGTAGCGCGAGCTGCCGCCGCCATGGCGTTGGTGGCGGTGGTGGTGGTGGCGCCTGCGACCCGTCCCGTCGTCCCGGTAGTAGTCGTCCTCGTAGTAGTAGCCGTCCCCGCCGTCGCCGTAGCTAGGCTCGGCCGACCGGGCGCGGTAGGTGTCGCGACCACCGCTGGGGGGAGGGAAGTCGCGCCGGATCTCCTCGACGGAAAGTTCACTATCCTCCCGGCGGGCGGCCCGGGGCACGAGCTCGCGATGGGCGGTCCTGGCGGCGTAGTCGCGGCTCTCGAGGAAGCGCGGGTCTCGCTCGTCTCGACGCTCCTCGCGCACGTAGCGGCGGGAATAATCCCGCTCGTACGGTTCGTAGCTCGACATATATATATATATATATGTATTTATATATAGGTGTGTGTGTGTGTGTGTGTGTGTGTGTGGTGGGTGTAGAAGCGGTTCGGGTCGTTATTCCTCTAGTACCGAGCTTATTGCAACGGCGTACCGTGTCTGGGGAGATGTGTGTGTGTGTAAACTCTGCGTTTATATATATATATATAGAGAGAGAGAGAGAACGAGACAAGTGTATAGCGAAAAGGGAGAGCAGATATCTTATAACGACTCAACAAAACAGAGATGAAATCGAATCACGACGACGTATATGTTGGGTCGAATGATGACTGACGGATGAGAAAGAGAAGAGGGGAAGAGAAGAGAGAAGAGGGTTCAAAGTGGGGGAAGAGACCGACAACCAGATAATACGGGCTCTCCCTCCCTTACGAGGCGAACAGGTTTACGAGTGCAGGTATTACGGTATCCGGTCACTCCCTGGAATTCGGGGGAGTGACCTGATGTGAGCAGGGATGTCTGTGAAGGCGGGGGGGGGGGGGGGGGGCATCCATCATCCATCATCCGTGAGTTCCAGTACTTCTCATGGTTTTTTACATCCATCAGGTTCCATACACCGGGTTTTACATTACATAACCGCACAAGACAAGACTTGGACAGAGCGAAGGCAAGGCGGAACAGAACCAGATAATCATGAAAAAAAAATCCAACTCCATCTTGACACTCTGCCACTCTCCCAGCCGGACGGTCGAATCATCTTTACCTTTGCTATCGCACATGAGAGCCGTTCTGGTCATCGTCCCACGGGGCCACAAAACGCACAAAACATTTGAGGGGGGGGAGGGGGCGGGGCAGATTAGAAGGGAAGAAGAAGAGAAAAAAAGTACCTCTTGAGTAGCTCCGTACTCGTGGTATGATGGATGACGTAACGGATGGCTGGACCGTGGCTTTCTCTCTTGATAGATCTTGTTTCCTCTTCTTCCTCTTCTCTCTCTTGTTCGAGAGTTTTGGGCTTCCTGTTTTTCTTCTTCTTCTTTTCTTGTCATTATTCTTTCCGGGTCTTGTTCTTATCCTTTTCTGCCCTTATGGCTACAATCATGTCTTTTCCAAGCCTCAACCTGATCTTGGTCCTGACCATCTCAATCCCGAACCATCATGACTCTCTTACCCTCCACACCCTCTCACCGAGGCGCAAAACCGTCACAGCCACATGCGATGCACGCCCCAGCTGCGCCACGGGTCTGTGCATCTACCACCGACGTCAATGTACACTACATCCTCGTACATACATCAAAGTGTCCCCCGTAACCATGCATTCTCATCATTTCTTCTTTTGCATACTTTTTTATTTTATTATTATTATTATTATTATTTATTTTTGCATATTCCTTCCTCGTACTTGTACTCCTGTGCTCCCCCCTCCCTTTCCCTCCAACATTCGTCGTCATTATTCCATTTCTCGAGATGCTTGATGAGAGACCTAGATGAAAACGCTGCACCGCCACCCAAGCATGACGTCAGTAACTATACTCCATTTAAAACGGTTAGTCTATCACATCTCTTGAATGCCGTAATACCACGATCCCAATAAGTGAAACAAAAAAGAAAGATGTTGTACAATTTTTTTGGGGGATTTTTTTTCTTTTCTTTTCGTACTACTCCCCCCTTCTTTCATATATGCGGAGTAGGAGAGTATAAAAAAAACACGACGAAAAACACCAAATATCCATGAAACCATAACATAAAGACAAAAAAAAAAAACATCCTCAAAAGGATACAATCCCCTTGACGCCCCTCCCTGATTTTTTTGGACTTTTTTTTTTTTTGTTCTGTTTCGTTTTGTGTGTGTCTATTACTTCCCCCTCTCTTCAATCTCGATGGAAGGCATTTTTTTCTTCTCGGGTCTCTTCCGATGATCTGTTGACTTGCAGTAGTAGATCTTCCATCTTCCTCCCTCCGCATGCTTTTTTTCTCCTCCTCAAATGCTTTTTTTCTGTTCGTTCCCCTCTCGTTTTCCTCCTAGGACTATGATATTGTTGTATCCCTGCCTTTAAAACAACCGAACCTAAAAAAGGAGGGGGGATGGATTGTCAACTCCGTAGAAAAATGTTCCGTACAGGAAAAAAAAAAAAAACAGAAAACAGACACATTACGAACAAAAAATCCCTTTCGACCCTCTTCTTCCCTGCTTCCATCCTTGTCTTAAAAGTGGCCATATATCTCATGTTCATACAGAGCAACTTTGCAGACCCGAGGGTCCAACAGGAAAAAAAAAAAAAGCTTAGAAAAAGTCGCAAAATCTGAGAGTGTAGGGGGGCAGCAACGAGACGTTTCGTAAAAGAAAAAGAAAAAAATGTAAAAAAAGGAAGAAAAAAAACATATGTCCGAGTGGAAATGTCATGAAAAGGTACGTGTGTGGGCGTTAATGTTACCGACGTCCCTCGACCCTTTTCTTCTTCTCCCTTATGAAACTTTTATCCATGCAATTGAACAGAAAACGAAGCGAGTAAAATTCGAGATAGTGCGGGTAAAGAAAGGATCCGACAGATGAGAAGAAACGGACGTGAAGAAACCGACGTCGGAGCCAGCCCTAGACGCCATATAGATAGACGAAGAAGAAGAAGAAAAAGGCATCATAGAGCAGGGAGCTCACGACTCGATCGCGTCAGTGTGGCGGTCCCCGGCGGTGGCGCCATTCGTGGCAGCGTGCCCATTCGTACTGGAGAGAGCACCGGAGGGGTTGAAGTCGGGCACGGCGGCCGAGAGCTGCGAGGCTGCCGGCGCTGCTGCCGTCGCAGGTGCGGCGGCAATGTGAGCGTGACCACCGTGGCCGTTGACGTAGCCGTTGACGTAGCCGTTGGGACCGCCGGCGAGGTCGTCGGGGTAGACGCCCTGGTAGGCCGGAGGCGAGGCCATGCCGTAGGGAGAGGGAGGGGCGACCATGCCGTTGGCGTACTGCTGCTGCTGATGCTGCTGCTGCTGGGCAGGTTGGTACGTGAAGCTCCTGCTCTTCCAGGTGATGTGCCTGGGTCCGTCGTTGCGGGCCATGTCGTCGCGCTCGTGCATGGGCAGGACAAACTTGTCCCATCCGACGCGACGGCGGAGGCGCTCGCTGCCGTCGTCGTCGGCCACGACAAAGTCGATCTCGCCAGACTCCTCGCATACGGCGCGGATCAGGCCCAGGTCCGGGCTCAGGTCGCGCATCCGCTTAAAGGCGGCGATGAACAAGAGCGGAACGAAACCCTGAGAGTCCATGCGCTGGCGCAGGTACAGGTCCTTGCACAGGTTCTCGATCGAAAAGTAGTACTCAATCTGGCTGCGGAGCATCGGCACCACCATGCTGTCAAAGTAGACGTTCTGCTGCTGGAAGGGTATCTGCTGCTGCTGCTGCTGCATCTGCTGCTGCATCGAGTAGTCGTACGGCGCAAACTGCGCCTGCACCGGGGGCATGCGTGCCGCGCCGCCGTTGGGCAGCGACATGCGGTTGTAGTTGTTGGCACCACCGCGGCCGCCGCGGCCGCCGCCGCGCTGCGAGGGAGGCATGAAGCCCTGCCCGTGACCCTGCCTCGGGGGCGGGCTGTACGGGCCGGGGGTGGCGCGGATGGGAATTGACGGGTTGTTCCCGCTGGATTGGAATGGCGGCGCCGTCGCTGACGTGCTGTGCTGGTGCTGGCCGTGCGAGCTTATGGCGTTGTGGCCTCCTCCACGGCCGCGGTAGGCTCCGCGGCTTGCACGCTCGGGGCGTCCCTCACGGACGGGGTGCTGCTGCTGGTGGGGTGGCTGCTGGTTCTGCGTCAACGTGTCTTGCTCGTGATGAGGCGGACGCGCGACGGGGGCACGTCTTACTTGCTGGCCGGGGGCGGCGTCCTTGGCCTTGTTGGTGGCGTAGTCGGGCTTCTTCTGATGCTCGCCCTTGGTGTTGGCCACGTCTATCGACGCACGCTTGTTGTTCGTCGGGGGCAGCGACGTGTTGCGGCCGGCGGGGCCGGACGGCTCGCGTGTGCGGTCCCGAGATTCGCCGCCGGGCTTGGAGGCGCTGGTGTTGGTGTTGGCGGCACTTGGGGCGGCGGCGGCAGCACCCGTAGCGGCGGCGGCGGCGGCCTTGTCGCCGTTGTGGTTGCTGTTCTGGGCGGCGTTGGCGGCCGACCTGGAGCCGGCGCCACCCTTGGCGCCACCTCGCGGCTTGGAGCCACGCATCTGCGGTAGCTGGGTCTCGAAGCTGACGGTGGGAACGTAGTCGTACGCGACCCACTCCTTCTTCTGGCGAGGCTTAGCCTGCGCGCCGTCCTCGGAGGCAGGCTTGTCCGACGACGCTGTGGCCGTGGCAGCGTTGGTGGCCGGGGTGGTTGCAGCGGTGGTGGGGGTGGTGGCCTTCTTCTTGTCCTCCTGGATGGCCGTCTCAGGCGTGGGCCAGGACGAGGCATCTTCGACGAGGGGAGGTGCTTCGGGCCTGTTCTCCTTTCCGCGGCCGGGAGCCCGGTTACCGCGGCTACCGTTCCGCTCGGGCTTGTCGCTCGACTTGGACTGGCCCTTGGGACCGGAGCCACCGCCGTTCACGTGGGCGGGCTTGTGGTGAGCATCGGCAGCTCCAGCGGCCGAGACGCCGTTGGTGGCGGGCTCGGGCTTGGCCTTGGCCTGCTGGGCCTGTTTGCGCTGCTGCCAGATGTTGACGGTAGGGAGGGGAGCCTCGGATAGCTCAACCTTGGGAGCCTCGGGCTCCTCCTTCTGCTCCTGGTCGGCGACCGAGGATGCACTGTCGGCACCGGCGGCATCTGAGGATTTCGCCTTCTTGCCCTTCCGGGGTCTCCTCGAGTCGTGCTCGTCGACCGACCGCGTGGCGGCGCTCGACGACCTGGTGCTCTTATCATTCCGACGCCACGGGCGATCTAACCTGGCGGCGTCTTCATCCTTCTTGGGATCAGACCGCCTTGACTGGACCGTCTCCATCTTGGCGTCGGTAGCAGGGGCAACGGTGGTCTCGGTGACGTCAACGGCGACACCTTCGGCAGTGGCACCAGCAGTGGCAGCAGGAGCAGCCTCCTGGTTTGTGGGCTCGGCCGGGCTCGACGCGGCCTTGGGGGTGGCCTCGACGGGGACGTCGGGCGACTCGTTCTGTTTGGTGGGCTGGAGCTCTTCGATGGGAGCAGCCACGGCCTGGTCGGCGGGTTGGGTAGAGGGAGATGTCGGATGCGCTGTCGGGCCACCCTGACCCTTGGCGGCCTGGGCGTAGGAGAAGGAGGAAGCGGCGGCCATTTCGATGATGTTGGATGTCGGGGGTTCGGCACACGGCACAGCGGGCCAATGCAAGAGAAGCCTCGGTTATGTGAGGCTGGGAAGTGCGGAGGGAGAGAGGTAATGTATGCGGATCACGTCCCCTGAGCGAGGAATGTGAGTGACCACCAGATACGGCACCGGGAAGGGTGCAGCAGGGTCGTCTCGCCAGCGGCCCGGTCTATTGGGGGGGGGGTTGGTTTGGGGTTCTGGGCAGCAAGGGCTGTCTGCTTGTACGTCGCTCCCTCTGTAGTCTTTTCTATTTCAAAAAGTCGTTCGAAGGACGAGGTTGTCCTTTCCGGCTCGCGACGAGCTCGAGTGCCCAACTAGGGTTTCGAGCCCAGGATCCGATAAAAGGGCGGATGAAGGGATGGCCGTTCTTGGAGCCGTGTTCTTCCGTGGAGACTGTCGTGACGCAGATGGGGCGGAATGAGACTGGTCGTCTCGAGAAATCGGCGGCCTGACAGTTAGGTGGGTAGGTGGTGGTCGACGAGATGAGAGCAAGAGAGGCGAGTCTGGGATGAGCAGGATCTAAACTCGATCGTCTTCTCACTAAGTAAATCTACCGTGGGGTAAAAAAAAAAAAAGTAGAAACGTTGTAGTCGTTGACTAGTAAGAAAGTCAAGAGCCACAAGAGTATGTTATGTGTATGTCGAGGGAAAGAAGAACGATGCCCGACGATCGAGATGCGTCCTCTGGAATCCTCTGTTATTGTCGAAAGGACCGGGGGGTGCGTCGAGGAAGAAGGAAGAAAAAAACAGCAGTGACCCGACCCAGGCGCGGAGACAAGGGTCAGATAATGACACAGCCGGAACCCTGATGGGGTTAATTGATTTGACAGAAATGCAAACCAGATAGGTGCAGAGGAATAGTATCTTGAGGCAAAAGAGAAAAAAAAAAGAAAAGAAGAAGGAGGGGGGGAGGATTCAGAGAGGGTAGGGGAGAGACAGAGACGGGCAAAGGATAACAAGAGGAAAAAAAGGCGTGTTATGCTGCCGTGAGGGTTTAGGGAGGAGGGGCGGGAAGGGAAAGTTGAGGGCAAGAGACCAAGGCTAGAAGGTTATTTTTTTTTGCGCAGAGTGTGAGTCGGGTTGTGCGGTTTAGCTGTGCGTGGTGTGAATAGCAGTAAATTTTTTTTTTTATCTTCTTCCTCCCCCTCTCTTCATCTTCCTACGAGCTAATACTACCCAATACCTCTCTCTCTGTTGCGGGCGGGCGGGCGGCATAGGTCTCCCCCCCTCTCTATCCCGCTCTGCGGAGTCCCATATACATATATATACACCCACTCTGTAGGAGGCAGGTACGTTGCTAGGGAGTACTTAGGTAAGGTACTCGTCGTATGCCGTTTGTGGTAACATCCCACGCCAAAAAATTGGAAACCCAACAGCGTACAGAGGTTTCTGGGCCATTGATCAGGGTGGGGGGGGCAGGTAGAGTGGCCTTCTAAAGAACTTGAAGAGCATCGCTCACGATCTGGACTCTGAAGTGAACGGTAGACCGTTTCGTCAACCTTCTCTCTTGACCCTACAGTACGGTAATCATTACCGACAGCTGACAGTTGACTGTCGACAGTCGGCAGAGTTTCTTGGCCGTGACAAGGGATAGAGCGGGAGAGGCTGTAAGAGGCCTTCCGTAAAGTGCCTACATGCGTTCAATGCTTCCTACCATAGGCGGTCCTGCTATAGGCAGTAACGTATAATCTGTACAGGGCTCCAGGTCCCGTTTACCAAGGTGGCGTAGTCTGTTAGAGCGAGACAACAAGGCCAGGTCAGGCCAGGCCAGGACAAGGCAAGCCCCGCTAGACTGGGGCAAAAGGGATCATGTACCCTAACCGCGTAAATACCACGACAGAGGTACCTCCATGTCTCGAGATCCCCCCCCCCCCTCCCCCC